CAAACAGGTGACCAAATAAGAGATAGAATGCTTATGCTGACATGCTAGGAGGTCCCCTTCTGAGCGATGGGAGTTAGCCTAGGGTTGGGCAGGGGAGAGGCTTTCATGCTTCACAGGGAAAGAAGGAGTCACCAGCAAGTCAGAGACACAGTCTACTTGGACCCTTGGCCCTCATCCATCGGAGGGTGATATAGGTGCTGTAGAGTTCTGTGAGATCCCCACAAGTACATCAAATGTGTTCCCAAATCCGGTTTCTCTTTAAGACTGCCTTTGCCATAGAGGCACCAAGCACCCCCACACCATCCCGGCACCAAGCACCGCCCCACACCATCCCCACACCACAGTGTGATGAGGTTTATTAGTTCCAGACGCCTGGATAAGAGCTCACCCCCTGGCCATTGCCAGTCAGCAGGCACAGCCTGTGTAAATGCCAGACCTGGCCCCAGGAGAAGCACTGTGCCTCTCCACCCGTGCCAGCAGTGAGAAGGTCCCCAGGAGATGCTGTGAGCACAAAGGCTCTTTACCAGTCCCTCCAGCTCACCCCCTGTCCTGGCTCAGACCACTGGGTCTGTGCTGCCAAAGGCCTCTGGGTCTGGATGTCCTGACGGGGGACAATCAGGACAGTATACTGTTGAGCCTTGACCCCATTCCTGGCAAGATGGGAAATTCCCAGAGGAGCAGGCGGCTGTTCAGCAGCATGCCAGACACCCTTTTATCACAGAGCATAAAGCAAAACAGGCCAGTCATTGATTCATGTTCGCTGCAGTACTGGGCTCTCCTCATCCCCCTTCATATCTATGTGGTGTCTACCATGCTTTTCTTGTTCAGACAGTAAAACTTTATGGTCCCCTTTCATCAATGCCTTGCAAAGGACTGGCTACAGCTTGCCTTCTGCAGGGAGCAGCCAGGCTGGTGGTACAGTGGTGGGATCCTGCTGTCCCCTGCCGGGCATCCCCAGCATGGCTTTCTGCACTGCCCCAGGTTTGAAGACTGCAGAGGGCATGACAGTGGGTACAGCAAAAGAAGGGGCACACTTAAGATTTTCTCTCCAGCTCTGCTCTTTATGTGATTTCAGGCACCCTACTGCCGTGTTTTTTCACTGCCCCAGGAGAGGAGGGAGGTCTGCCGAGATCACCTCAGGATGCTCTCAGTTATCCAGACTGGTTTGGAAAATCTGTGGACCACTGGTGACACAAGGCAGAGTGAAACTACTACTGACCGCAAGATGTCTGTGCACAGTGAACCCACAGCTGCAATTCATTGGTGCTTCCAGTCAGCTGGGTCCATCTACCACTAGTCAGCTGTCATGAAAATCAGTTTCCTCTCCATGACAGGTGACCTGGTGGAAGGAGGGCATAGGGAGGCAGCACATGGCACCACTGCAAAGGCTCCGAGCAGCTGTCTGCTGACTGCCTGTGCTTCCATGGCCAAGGGAGAGCACTGGTGTCAGTCTGTCTCAGATGGAAATGGTGGTGGAAGGGAATCTCACCTCTGCTGCTCAGAGAGGAGACTGAGGCTGCCAAGCAAGGCTGCTTGACATGGTGCTTATAGCTGAGGGCTTAGAGAAAGGAGGGGGGAAATAACAGAAAAAAAATTATAGAGCATTATGCAAAGTGGTTTGGGAACTGTTTTTACATGATGGGCAAGGTGTGAGAATAGCTGATTAAGTCAATCATGTTCCTATATGCTTCTGCCACTGTATGGCTTGTGGTGCCCCATGACGGGAGTCTCCTCTCACTGCAGTGCTCTTGCAGCATCACCATTTCACAGAGGCGAGGCACAAGGTGCGCGCTTCTGCCCTGCAGCCCTCCAAGGACAGCTGCTCGGCACAGACACTGCACTGTGGCCTTGGTCACAGAAGAACGGCCACGGTGGCTGTGCCACAGCAAAATGGCTTGAGTAAAGTGTGAGGAGATGAAGAGGACTAACATCACCATGAAACCCTAACACTGAAATAAAATCCTCTCAAATCAACCCATATATCACTGGAAGCAGCCTGTAAATGTGACTCCTGGCTGGCAGCCAAAGTGCAAATGGCAAGCCTCTGTGCAGAAGTGGCTTAATGTGCAGTGGGGATCACTGCTATTATGAGTCCCAGAACAGGCTGTGCTGGTGCATAGGTTTTGCAGTGTTGGTTACAGGCTATTAAACCCCTCTAAGGTCATAAGTTCTCATTCCTCTTCCAAATGCATAAACTTATTCCTAAAAACCACACCAAAACACACTCAAATGGCTCACAGTTTTATTGAACGTGTCTCCACTTGAACAGAGGCAGAATGAGAAGGGACCTCTCTACCAAGAAAAAACAGGTTCATGTTGGGTTGCTTTTTAGGAGCACTAGCCAAAATATTCCTAAATAGAAGGAAAGACCTGCTAAAGGAGTGTTGGTACAAAGCAAGTCTGAGCATACCTGTCCTACTCACTCCATGTTCCTGGGCACTGGAGTGAGAGAAGCACTAATATACCAATGAACAGTGATTGGAGACCTTAGGTTACCCCAGGGTAAGGGTCTCCCAAGTCAGGGGACAAGAATCCTCAGGACAGCTGATGTGGGCACACTCAGAGGATGGAGTTTGGGCAATAGCTAAGAGAACATGGGAGAAAAACAGGAGGTTTAAATTGTTAATGTATTAATCTGCCTTTCCCAAATAGACTCTGTTCCTCCATCACCACCACCACCCATAAATTTACATTTATTTTAAACCCTGGGGCTTGTTTCTCTTCAGAAAGGAAACATTGATGTCAAGGGCACTTAGAAAAAGTCATTTAGTTTCTGGGTGAGAGCTCAGTACAGTATAATAAGAGTTCCAGAGCAACAGCCCAGTGCTCTGCGCAGCCCATCTTGGCAATGGGGACCCCCACAAGAGGAGGCAGTGGCTTGCTGTGTTGAGACGTTCTGGGTGCTACTGAAGGATGAGTGCTGACGGTGCTCAGGATTGCACTGTGGTGTTTGCTACTGTTCTTCAAGCCTAAACTCATGACTTTAAGTGATGCTGAAAGACTCTTATGTCTTCCTTTAATCTATTTGCTTTTTAAGTAGTTTTCTAGCTTTCATGTTTGTAAAGAAACACCTGAAATTCAATACATCAATGTTAAAACAAAGCAGCAAGGAAAAGAAGTATCCAGGCTGTTTGCACAACCTCAGGGCTCCTCAGCCGGTTTGGTGATTTCTGGAAGCAGAGGGTGCTCCTGGAGCCTGCAGCCATGCACCACGAGAGGGCACGGGGGTCACTCAGGCGGTGCCCAGCCACGGCAGGCAGGGTGGTGGCATGCCCCGGCCAGGCTCTGCCCCAGCCTTTGTGTGACCTTCTCTTCTGGCATGCCTCAGTTTCCCCTTTTGTATTTGTCTTGAAAAGGAAATTTAGACACGCTGCTGAGTCATCAGTTGTGGAAAACCAGTAGTTCCTTCAAACACCCACGGGTGGTGTGGGAGGACAAGAGGAAACAGGAACACCCAAAGGTGGGGCCAGTGCTGCAAGGCAAAGACATATTTTCGGTCTGCACCATTCAGCACTGCCTCTCAGGATGCTATGGAAGCCCTTCTCCAGTGGGCTTTTACATTTTTCACATGGAAAATGTGTTCTGCCCTCAAAACTTGTCAGCACTGACTGCTGCAAAATCCCTGTCACCCACCACCTTGTAAGTGTTCGGAAAAGCACTATCTGCAGTTATTTACAGGACTTAGAGGCCCATTTCATGAGATCAAGTATTTAGCTGTTCTCGGAAAATCCCAGTCTGAAATACAGACCAAGATCCTGTGGAAGAAAAGCTATCGCTGTGCCCTTGGACCGAGTTGTCTCTACCCCCAGGACACATCAGGACAACACATACTGACCAGGTTCAGCTTTGTGGTCACAGGCAGCTGAGAAGGGATCACTGGACATGGGCTCTGCTGGTTGCCACCTCCCCACAGGACTGCCTGTGCGTGAGCTGAACGTGATTCACCCAGCCCCTTGACTGCACCGCTGCTGGCTTCACAGCAAGCACAGAGAAGGGCACGGACTGCAGTGACTTGCCTGATGCTGGCCTCAGCACAAGGTGAGCTCACCGACCTGTAAACCTACTGCCCTGCAGGCACCAGATATTTGCGCTGCCTGCCGGGACTGTGCTGTTTTTCACATGCCGCTCCTGCCAGGACTTCAATGATCAGATGCTGCTGCCAACACTGCCTTTTCCCTGGGCAACAGCACGTGGGGATTGACCCTCAGTAAGATGCACCATGTTCAAGAACAGGGGAATGTGGGGCTGGGGTCCAGAGCAGGCCATCACTGTCCCATCTTGGCCTTCAGACATACCTAGGGCTGGCTCTCTCCAGGGGTGGTATGTCCTGCACAGACAAGCAAAGGACCCTCAAGCTGCCTACCAAATCCGATACAAAGAGGTCAGAGTACTTATGCACCTCACTATAGGTATCAGGGCACTTGTGCAACCCTGGTGCCATTCAAATGGCTCCAGTGACTACAACACAGAAACACATTTCATTGAGGTTCCCAAGAAGAGAAATACACATCTCCCTTGCTATGATTGGCCTGGGTCTGTAGGACCCTTGGGAATAGATCTCATGTCCTTGTTCCTGTGGTTCCACATCAGCCCAGATGCTGCCCAAGCCGCACTAGTCAGAGCCTGTCAAAACCTGCATGGTGAGCAGCAGCAGTGGCAGGGGGCTCAGCTGCAGGAGGCAGCAGTGCTGGGGTGCTCTGGGAGCCTCACAACTTACCAGAAACGTGCCGCTCTCTCGCCAAGAGCAAACATCTCCATCCTCACAAATGGTTAACCTGCTGGAAGCTGCACAGCACTAATGACTTCACATGCATTTAATCAGCTTGGGCTTCCAGAGCCTCCTCCTCAGCAGCAGGAAAGGCCATGCACCCGAGGTGCAAATGCTCCTAAAGCCACGCACACCCCCCCTTACCAATCATTAATCATCACTGGGCCGGCAACGGGAGCAAGCGGCAAGCAAGCAGGAAAAGGCCAAGTCTCTACAGCTCCACAGGATCAGCAGGAAGCAGTGCTGACCGGTTCCCTGTGGTGACAGCTCTTTCTCCGACCACCCTCCCCTGGGAGGCCCCGGTGGAGGTGGCCAGTCCCGCAGCACTGCCCTTTCCTTCAGGAAGGTCACTTGGTCCAGAGTGCGGGAGGCTCTGCCTGCAGCTGGGAGCTGCTGGGCTACGTGTGAGGTGGGAGCCCTGAAGAGGAGGTTCTGTCTGGTCGGCACCACAGTCTCCATCTCTTCACCATGTGGCACAAGGTATTTTGGAGTGCCCTGGAGTGCACCTGCCGATTGCTGGGTATCTCCACTGCAGCAGGTAAGAGTGAGCTCTCTTTTTTCTTTGGCACTAAAAGTCACTGAGTGGGTGTTGAGACCCCTGGGCTGTCTCCCTGCCTTTAGCTAGGAGCAGCCACTGCCCAATCTTGTGAGAGGGGCAAGGAAACTTGCTCACTTTTGCTTTGGGACCCAGGGAGGGAGAGTGCTAGGTACCTGGACAGGCTCTTTACAAATTATGTGGGGGGACACAGTGAGACATCAGAAAGGAGGAGCCAGCGCTCAGTATGGCAGAGGACAATCTAAAGCACAAACGGAAAAGAAAACTGAATTATATTCTTGTAAAACAGACATGGGAACAGACAAGATGTGAATGGGACTGAAAATTAAAATACTCATGGCTGCACAAAACCACCAAGCTGCTCTGTGAAGATGAAGGAGGAGCTCCTTGTGCCGTGCACAGTGAGATGTCCTGTGCCGGGCAGGATGGAGAGGTCCCAGCCATCACGGCACAGTTGCAGCCTACATGCTGCTCTGCCTCACTAGCAACCCATCAGGGAGCAGGCTCAGGAAGCAGTTCAGGTTATAGCTGCAGTACGAACATCATAAATTCACCCACCTGGCTAGATGCATCCTCTCACCCACTGTCAGGGGCTGCTTGGGACCAGCATCCTCTGGGTTTGGGTGACACGTTCTAGTGCTTGGTTTCAGATGAAATGCAAATGTTTTGATCTGGCTGTCTCAGGCACAACATCTCACCCAGAAGGACTGAACTGCAGTAAATAACCCTCTCACACGGGTCATCTCTGGACAGGATGTAGGGAATCTGCTAATGCAGAGGGCTCAGGAGTTCACTCTGACATTGCTGCTGACTCACTGTTACAGGACAGACTGCACTCTCTGCCTCAGTTTCCCCACCAGAAAAACAGAGATCAAAGTGCCTGATTTGACTAAAGGCTGGAGGAGTGAACCGGAGGTTCCTGGTGAAAGGTGACTTGAGGTTGTGCCTGTGGTTCCTGTGTCAGACCCCCAGGAATTTCAGATTCAGACATTGCAGAGTAGGTCATAGCAGGCCCTCCTACCTTTGTATTTCCTTTATCAACTGCAGACAGACATGTGAGTCACTTTTCTCAAGTCAGGGGCAAAGTAGAAAGCACACATGTCAGCTGAAGAGAGCACAGGTCCCCAAGGACACCCAAAGCCCAGCTGGGATGCTGAAGGCTGTGCTCTGGAATGTGCTTTAAATGACTGATAATGGGCAGCAATTTGAATATCAGAGTTTATACAAACTCCCAGTAGATAAGTACACATCATGGGGACACTGAAACAGATAGGAGCTGGGACACATCTTTAACCAACAAATGCAAATCTCTTCCTTACTCCATCCCTATCCCCCTCAGGCCCACATGAGCCCATGTTGGTCATATTCTCTCTTAAAGCTCCAAGAAAACTCATAGAGGCCTTCATGGGAGAAAACACGAGCTTGTTGCCATGGGAAAACTAAAGCTAGAACAGCAAAATTGAAAGTAGTTTACAATTTGGAAGTGTCTTAGTGGAATATAATCTCTCTCTCATGCTTGTTTTCATCATTTTGCAACATCTGCACCTCTTTCTGTAGTTCTTGAAATGAGCAGTGCAGTTGTCTCTCTGCTGAGCATCACAGAGCATAGACAGCTGTACTTCCAATCTCTGTGCTTTTCCATAGCTCTGATGCATTTCCAGTATCACCTAACTTTACGAAAAGGCCAGTGAAGAATGGGAGGTGCCTGTGTTTTATTCCTCTATGTGTCTCAATGGAGTAAGAAAACAGCTTGATGCAGTGTTTAGTGCCTGATGAGGTGTGTGAGGTTTCTGCATGAAATGGAAACCATGCAGGAGAAGATCCCACGGGGTTTGTTTGAGAAAAAAAAAAAAAAATGAAAGGGAGAGGAGAGTGCATCAGCCTCATTAATTGATTCTGAGAAGGCCTGGCCAGCTCCATCACCTGCTTACAAACACAGAAGGTTACCCTCATAATATAAACCTCCTGTTCCCCAAGGATCCTGGAGTGTAATGGCTGTCTGCAATGGTGGGGCTGCAGGGTTTCTTGTGTGTGAGAAATCAGACAGCCCTGCTGTCGTCAGAGCTTCGCGGCAAGTTAGTGAAGAGTGATAAAACTCTCCCATGATTTGCTGCAGTGTTTGGGGCATCTCTGCAGTTCAGAGATTTTAGGCCTTGTGATTCCTGCATCTAGGAGAGATTCCTTACTTATTTCTTAATTCTCATGCTTTCAACCATTTAATTCCTAATCATGTGCCTTTAGCCACATGGTTTGGACAAGATCCAAATCAAGGCAGCAACTAGTCCAAACAAACACCTCAGAAACAGCCCTTTGCTTCTTGCATATTCTTCATCCAAAGAGCTTTGTGGGTAAAGCAGAAGCTGTGTTAAATGAGGAAACCTCCTCATCCAGAGCAGAGACTCGAGCATAACATCCAAGCTATTGAATTCTGCATTCATCCCCAGGAAATGAATGAATGAATGAATGAATGAACTCCACATGTGTAGGGAAGATTGTAAAGAAGGGTTCTCAGTCACAAGATAGCAAAGGACAATACTTTGCATGTAGGATTATACAGCTCATGCAGCTTCACAGCCCTCTGATGAGACTGATTTCCCTGTGCCTCTGTTCAGGGCTGGAGAGGCAGCCTCCATGGAGGAGGGTGACTCATAGGCCCTGTGCTCTCCCCTGGCTGAGAGGGGCCATCAGCTGCAGGTGGCACAGGGGGAACCAAACCAAGACCACAGCACCCTGGTGGGGCTTTTCTCAGCCAAGATGGGAGAGCTGTGTGCTCAGACACAGACCCTCATCATTGACCCACCTGTGGGCTTGGTGGACACTGGTCTGCATCCCTATTTGGGTTCCTGATACCCTTCTCCAGCTGGGACTCAGAGAAATTAAGCCAACTGGCACCTCAAGCCTTGGCCAGCATGCACTGAGCGGGACCAGTGGTGAACTTCCTGATCATCAGTGGATGGACAGCATCTGGTCAGTGAGATGTGGAGATATCAAGTGTGGACAGGAGTGCAGTGACTGCCTAGAGCAATTCCCTGGACATGAGACCTGGGGTCCACTCAGCTACATGCTGCTGGCACTTCTGCACCATGACTGACTGGTTATGTACCAACCAAATTGATGCAGCTAGTGCAAGGCACTGGTTTCTGCTCCATTTTGGAAATAGGCTTGTGGGGAACTGAAGGATGTTGAAGGAAATTTTCCATGCCCCTGAAGCTATTGGCCCCCAACAGCCAGTCCAGGGAAGATTTTAGCCTTGCTAATGCTCTAAATCCCCCTTAAACTGACTCCCCAGTGTGCTGTGCTGGCTGGGGCACTGAGGGGATGTTCATTCCCTGGTTTTAATCTGCCTGCTCTCATTATATGTTTTTCTGTTTGGCTAGCAAAGGATCTTGATGCCATGGCTACGGCCCTTTGTGAAGGCAGCTGGCACATTTCCCCTGTCCTGCTGCTGCTCTGCAGTCATGTGTTGGGTGCAGCAGGCCTGGGCAAGCAGTGAGGGCAGGGGAGTAAGACTGGCAGGCACTGGGAAACCTGAGCAGTGAGGTCCCCAGAATGGGAGGGGCAGAGATGAATGGGGCAGTGGGAAGGAAGTCCCTGAGGCAGCCCTGATGGAGTGGCATGGCAGGAGGTTGGAAGGGACATGGGACACTGCTGTTAACCTCCCTCAGCTGTCCAAGGCCAGCTGGTATCCCCAGAGCACCTCCTTCTAGCCCACACAGTGGCAAGGCTGCCATGATAGGGTTGCAGCCGGGATGGGTTTCTGGGCTGTATGTCAAGGCCAGCATTCAGCTCTGACTCCCCAGGGAGCATGAATCACGGGTGCTGGCAGTCCTAATGTTCTGCAAAGCATGGAGGAGCAGCCTCGCCAGCCCCTGGGGAAATCGGGGCATTGATCCTGGGAGCTGGTAGGGCACCAGAGAGACCAGAACCAACCCTGCAGTCAGCATCTTTCCTACCTTCTCTTTCTAGTGCTGATTGGTGTGGGCGTAGAAACTCTGCAGCGAGGACAGTTCAAAAGCCTGGCTTTCTATCTGCTGTGAGTATTTTTGCCCTTGAAGTCAGAGCTGGAGGGGGTGACACATTCGACCTCTCCACCATATGTAGCACCAGACTAGACTGCAACAGCAGCAGGGAGCAGTATCTGAGGCTTTTGGGGATTTCCAATCTCCATATTTAGGTTTCAGAAAAGTAAGCTATTTCTGATAGAGAAAATGATACTATTGCATCACCCATGCTACTGTTCAGGTGGGCCAGAGGTGACACTGACTTCAAGTTTATCCCCTGGGGACAGAAGGGTTTTGAGCTCTCCTCCACAAACCAGCCAAGCAGAGGGTGTTCAGCCCCAAGCACACAGACTCTGTTGTGAACTGGATAGTAAATCCTGGCTCTCTATGCCCCTTCTGAGACCTGGAGAGCATACTCAAGCCCAGCCCTGCCTCCCTGACAGCTCCACCTTTCAGTTTTTCAGGGGTTGCAGTTACTGTCTGTGAAGGCTTCTTCTTTATCAGTTTGTTCCTGGAGATGTGCTTCACGTAAGTAGACCCTGTCCTGTCTTCTCCAGCCTTGGTAGGACCTCCCTAAGGCAACTTGCTCCTTACAGGCAACAGCAGACCTAGCTGAGCTGCAAGCACCAGACCAAAAGTCCTGCCCCTAATGCCATGGCAAATGGACTCAGGCAGGACAGAGGTAACTGAGGCCATGTCCACAGACAATTAAACCTATGTTTTAACCCAAGTTTGTGCTATAATTTGCTGAGCACAACAAACCCTGGTCTGCAGCATCTGCTTAACACACAGTACGAAACACTACAAGGGACTGGGGTTGAGGAAAGATCCAGATCCCCAGGGTGAGCTGCAGCTTCCCTCCAGAGACACTGCAGAAATTTAAGTTAAAATGTTGAAAATCCTTATGTACTTCTCAGAGTCTGAGCACTTCTGCTGTCTTTTAGCATAAATTCAAAAGCCCTGACAGCTTAGAGGCAGCACCTTACTCCAGCTAACAGGCACTCAACTAGTGGCCAAGTAGGCAAACTCACCTAGGAAAGATGGCCTGAGATGCTGACCACTGGCAGATGTAGCCCCTGGCCTCTTCTCCCCATGTGAGAGGCTCAGGCTTTGCTTACAGTCCCTGAACAAAACACTGGTTTCCTGGAAAACCAGAGTGAGCATCTGCACATCTAGATGGGTGATGCTTAGGCCCAAATCTTCTTTCCATGTGCTTGGTGCCCCATCCCACAAGGACCTCTGCCTCTCTCCCCAGATACGAGCCTGACTCCCTCTCACAGGCCTGCTGGAAGCGAGCTAGACGCCCAGGAAGCTTCCAGAAATTCCTGGGGTACACGCTGCTCTCAGTGGCTTGCTTCCTGCATCCCGTCCTCGTCTGGCATGTCACCATCCCTGGTGAGAAGCCCGTGCTGGGGTGGGAGGTAGTGCAGATGAAATAGGAGCATGGTCGGTCAAGGGCCGGGAGAGGGTGGGGATATGCGGGGTGCTGGACTGGTTGCAGATGGTGCTGAGCTAGCTAGACCAAGGACTGCTTGGCAAGCTCTTCACCTTGCCCCAGCCCTCAGCCAACATGACCTTCTCCCCAGGGTCCATGCTGGTGCTCACCGCCCTGGCCTACTTCCTGCTGAGCAAGAGGAGGAAGACCCCAGAGCACAAAGAGATACATCCCCCAGCGGGCCAGTACGTGGACCCTTCAGCCACCTTGGCAGCCCCAACCACTGCTGGTGACACTGAGCAGACCTATACCTTCCACGGAGCCCAGAGGGAGCAGCACCACTCGCTGCTGGGCCACATGAAAAGTATCCTGAAGGGCAGCAAAGACAGGAGCCTGGCACCAGTAGCTCCTGTCCAACCAGAAGTCCCTCCAGCCCCACGCAAGCAAGTGCACTTCCAGGAGAAGGTGGTGCAGATCATCCCCTCTGTCAGCGAGAGCTTGGAGGACATGGAAAGCGAGGCTGAAGAGACCACATCAGACACAACGCCCATCCTCACCCCACCTGATGCCCCCGTCATCCTTGCTCCCCTCAGCTCCACGGGCCTCTTTTGAGCCCTCAGCGGGAACAAGGATGGAACAGACCTGCTACCCCTGGCACTGCCATCTCTCCCTGACGTTCCAGCAGCCAAAGGGCCCTGAGAGGTTGCCCTCCTTGCCCTTCCTGCCTCCAGGGTGACAACTGTGTCAGCCCTCTTCAAGGGGCTGCCTGTACTACATGGTCCCAAACCTTGTGACAGGGCCAGTAGTGGTCCCCAGCCCCTGTAGTGCCATGCCCAGGGGACAGGCAGTGGTTCAGCCAGGGTGGTGCCAGCTCAGTAAGGTTTCTGCTCCCATAGCCTCACTAGTGGGTCACCCCTCTTCTGTGGCACTACACATCACAGTGGCTACTCCTGCCTAACATCACAGCCATGGCGTGTGCCTCCCATGAGGCATCAGCAGGCAGGAGGAGGGGATACCACTGTGACCCCAGGGCAACCTCTTCTGAGGGTGGTTGTCTCCCTCCTGCCCTCTCTGTGCCTTGAAGAGCTCAGGGCTGGGACAGATTCAGCATAGGACACCACAGCCTGCAGGTTTCCTCACAGCACCTGCACCAGCTGCAGCAGGCCCAGGGCATCGGAAATATCATTTCAAAGGTGGGCTGAGAGCAAGCACACCCCCTGCAACTAGCATCAGCTAAGTGCCCTCCCCTGAGACACACTCTGAGCCCAGCAGGAAAATCACCTCTGGCCTTGGGGACACCTATGCAGGAGCAGGTAGGACCCTGGGGCTTCCTGGTGTCCCCTTCCTGGAGAGTCCTCTTGAGTTAGAAGAGCTTTTGGATGATGTGGCAGCTCAGGTCATGAGATTCAGCACCACGCTGGCACAGAATACCATGTGTAACTCTCAAGGTGTGTTAATTATGTGTCCCAGAGGGAAAATGCAATAATAAAGTTACCACATTGTTCCACCAGTCTCCTCCATTACAGCTCTTTCCTGAACCCTTCACCTATGGCTTAATCCTACCATATTTTCTGCACTTTGAGGAACATTCATCTGTAATCAGGCATTTCTCTCCCGCTCAACTCATCCCCTTGGCTCTATCCCACCTGAGGACTAAGACCTTCTGCTTCCAGATGTCAAATGGTGTCTGTGCCTGCAAATACCATCTACAAGATCCTCTCATCAGCATCAGACAGCTCTTTTGGCTGCATGTGGGAAAGAGCTCAGGTGGCTGTTTATTCTTGGACATGGGACATGAGGCCACACTGTCACTACTGCTGGGATGAAGAGTTGTAACTGCTCTAAGCCCAGACACACAGCATTGGGATGAGGTGGTAGTAAGGAAACAAGATCCCTGAGACCTGCTAGACTATTTATAAGGTAGAAGCCAGTGGGGATGGTTCTTTTTCTTGGAAATACTTATACTACTTTTTAAAATCTCAGCTCTTTGAGTCACAGTTACCATGTTCATTTAGGAAAGCAGTGTAGTTTGAAGTGTGAAAATGTTGATTCAAAAATCAGAAGGCAATTGAGATAAGAACCCAGTGCTACTTTTTAATAAACACTTTTTAAGTGACTCCTAATTTGAGAGATGGATGGGGAAGAAGGTGGAAGATACTTACTCAATATTTGACTGCCTGTGTTTGTTAATGAAACTCTGCCCATGGAAGCAGCTTATGAATGGTTGCACACACTTGTCATTCCTACAATCAGACATAAACAACAAGCTTCTTGTTGCATCACCAACATTTAAAATGATAGCTGGTATCTATCTATTCTAAATATGATACATGGAATAGAACCCTCCTTCTGGCTGCATAAATTAACCCTCCACCCCATAATTGCATGCTGGGGAAGAGTCACGTACACATCTGCCCTTAGGGAGGTTTTGCACCTGCAAAAATGTCTTCAGAAAATTAGGCCTGTTTACAGCCTAACGCTGCACAACTGATAGTAGCAAGCCCAAGATCCAAACACAGCTCCACCCTCAGGCTAGTGTATTCATCAAATTAAGAAATAAAAATAAAGCTGTTTTCTTCTAAAGTTGGTGGCCAAACAGCATACCTGCACCAATAAAGGTCCTGACCCAGTCATGCTAAGAGAGTACCCATCCTTGCCAACTGTGCCCCAAGAGGCTGTGCTCAGATCTGGCTCCCTAGCACAATCACGTATTTGCTCTGCAATTAGACCCGCTCTCATTAGCAAACTCAGCTTTCTGCATCATCCAAGGCTCTTCTTTGAACATTGCATAACTAATTACACACACAAAGATAAAGTTTGTTGAAGAGGCATCGCTCCCAATAGATCAAGCAATATGCTGACAAGAGAAAGGCCACATTTCTGCAGTCTCCTCTCTAGCCCTGAGCAAAGCTCCAGGGCAGCCTGGGTGGGGACAGCTGATCTTCAACAAATTTTATCCTTCAGCCCTTACTCAGTCAGCCCCATACTTCATACTGGAGGGGGAAGCAGGGCCAACTGACAAGGGGAGAAGCAATGTGGTGAGAGCACCTGTGGTACTCTGAAGTCTGTGGGGAGCACATTTCATTGCTCTGTGAAATGCATAAAATGAATTCACAGTTGTTAGAATCTGCAGAATTAGGTATTTCAGTTTTTAGGCTCATCTTTTGAAAATCTGTTGTAGGTTTCCCTTGGGAAACAAGACTGGGGGAAGCTACAGGTGAGGTGGTTGTTCAGTCTTCTTGAAGACAGCACTGGACCTGGTTGTTTTTCTTGCCTGCTCCCTGGTATTGGCCTGGCTCTTTTCCAGCCCCACAGCTAGCTGGCTAGGATATGAAGACTGGAAAAAAGCTTTTTGTCTTTTCTGTGGTATTAAATTGCCTGTTCAGTTAAGGTCCATGGCTGGCTCACCCTGGAGTCTGCCAAGAGCCTGCACCAATGCCAGAGAAGTAGATGTTCCTCCAGAGGCAGCCGGGCTGTGCTCCAAACAGCATCAGATGGGTGCGATCCCACCACAGGGGCTGAGCTGCTCCCCAGATTACCCCTGCCAAGGAGTCCATTTGGACATCCTTGGCTGTGTTCCTCACCACCCATCCCAGCGCTGGTGCTATCTTCCATCTCCATTAGCACACAGAGTTTATTAGCCCAGAGGAAAAATAATTAGGAAAAAGAATGTGGGTGGCTATCTTCTTGGGTAATGAGCCAAATAAATTAATGGATGGAAGGGCCAGCCACAAAATTAAGGGGATGGGGAATAAAAGCACCCCTTTCAGAGGCAGCAGGCTGCTAGAGCAGCTCAACTGCTTAAAGAAATGCAGCCTCAGGCTTTCTTTGAAATCCCAGTGCAGAGGAAATGTTCAGCCTCAGGGGGTGTCAGACGACACTGCAGAGGACTCAGATTATTCTTCTCTGTTGGCCCCTCTCTCTACTTCTAGCTGTGGGGGGCATCCCAGGGGCTATTGAAAGTACCAGAGGTGCTGTAGAGAGATGCTGGGGGATCTGTATATGAAAACCTCTCATATATTCAGGGTAATTGCAGGAAAAGAAAAAGAGGAAGAACTTCATGCTATTAACTGTGCAGTATAGTAATATCTGAACTTGAGCTGCCTGAACTGCAAGTCCACACAGCACTACATGAACACTGCTATATAATTTTTACCTGCATTACAGTTATTTCATGATACAGCTAATCCATTGACATGAGTTAGAGTGCATAAACCTAGAAAATCCTATGGATTCACATACTGAAAGGAAACAAGATGAATCACCCAAAAGACATAGATGTGTAAGGTAAAACTCTGTGAGTAAATCCTGGCAGAAATTGTTTCCTTCAAAATTTCTTCCAAAGATTTCCCTGCATGAGGAAAAATTTGCCTGCTTTGCATGTACAGTGGAAACACTTTACAATGCTGCTTGACAGCCCCCATCACAACTTAGTGTACCAGTACGTTAAAAACAATTAATCCACTTTATGTTTTATATGAAAGAAAAAATAAAGTTCAGTGCAGGCTTCAGTTATATTTCCTCTCTGCCTCCAGTGCACACTAGTACAAGTAGTTGTTGCACAGCCCCGAAGGCAGGTACGCTACCTGCCCCACCACAATGTTCCCACCTCACGTCAGGCACTTAGATGGTCGCACTCCAAATTCCCTAGCTACCCCCAGGGATTCTGGGCCCCATTTTCTCTGAGCACTGCTCTGTATTTGAAACATGGATATGAATGTTTTACCCATACAACAACAGTGTTAAGAAAATAAAGTACACTTGGAGAGAAAAATGTTTGGTTTCTGCAGTGTCTGTACTCAAAATCAGAAATAAGCTGCTCATATCTGCATGTGTACCACTCACAACAGCTACACTGCTTTGGCATTAGTGGCGTGGATGGCTCCCAATTCAATTTTGAGTCGTGCCCACATGTGGGAGAGGTCTTGTCTCCACTCAGTTCCAAATGCTGCATGCTCACACACCTGCAACCCTGCCTCTCCTCAGCCCTGCACCTTGTCCCATCCCATTCAGGAGATTCTCATGTGTGCTGGGCCAGAAATGCAGGTTCTGTTTTGGCTACTCCTGCATTTTGTGCTGTACAAGAAATTACAGGAACCAGAAACAAGGTCCCAAACCTGCCTGGGATTCCTCGGAGCTGTCAGCCCCCTTGTTTGCTTGGCATGGTGTGGGCAAAAGTAGGAATCTGGCTTCCAGCCACCATATATCAGCTTGCATACTGCTGGTGAAATGACTGCACTTAGGTTATATCCTAGTGAATGATTAAGGTACCTTTAGAAAACTAATTCTAGGCAGCTATTCACTCAGCATGTGACTTTACTGAATCTTGATTTGAGACTTTATGCAAAACGCCAGGAATCTGATTTTCCAACCCAGGTCTTTGGATCACAGACTAAAGAGGGAATCCATATTTCAGATAGGAAAAAAAGAAAAAACAAACAAACAAACAAACAAACAAAAAACACAAAACCAAAAACAAAACAGACAAACAAAATAAAAAGAGAAAGAGAAAAAAACTACCTAGAAGAGTAATGTTTTTTGGCAGTTCATCCTCATCCCAACCTGTACATAAAGGTGACCTCATCCAGCACAGGAGGAAGTTGTAAACAGCATCTTAATACTAATCCCCATCCATCCTCACCTCTTCCTTCTTCCCAGCCTCTCATTCATCACAGCCTTTCCACCCCAGAGCTGGACTCATTCAGAAAAGCTATATAAAAAGAAATATCATCTTGATTAATTCATGCTAAACAAAATTATATACTGTGACATTTCCACCCTGCCTTAACCCTCTTTCCATTGCCTTCAAAACTCCCTTGTAAGAGGGGCTGGGTTTAGTACTCACCCAGATGCCCAACTTTGCTTATCAGCCCCGGGCTCTCTGCTGGCACCCTGCTCCTTGGCTGGTGCATCACCCACTGCACCTGCGCTTGCTCTCCTAGAGAGCCACACTTGCAGCTGCAGTTTTGGGTGAGGCTTCCAACACTGCAGAGGAACATAACACCAACCAAATTGTGCCTAGAAGGGGAAAAGGCAGCAGCCACAGGGGACGTGCCCAGTCAAAGGAGACTGTATGGCAGCCCTAACTAACTTGTTAATTTTTTTCTGTTGTTTTGGGGTAAACCTCACCTTCCAATTTGTGATGCCTGCTGGTGTGCTGCTAATTTTGCACCATAAAAAAGTGAGTTTATTTTTTCAGTAATGTGTTGTGCTAGGCTGTATTACTTCCTTCAATAGCATGAGAAAACAGAAGTATACAAAAAGAGTTTTACTGTGCATGGAACTGAGCTGAAGAAGCTCTTCTACATTGGCTACTCAGCCATTCTCAGAGGGATTTGGTATAGTGACAGTACTTCTGAATTTGGTGTAGTAGCACTACATTTATTACCTCTTTCACTCTTGTGCCTATTGAGGAAACAATCCCCAGCATGGGAGCAAATTTGCCTTCCAGACCAATCAGATGAAGGGACCACATCCCATTTTATGTCATACTGCAGAGCTATGTCCCCATATCATGTTCTCAGGAAGACAGGCTGCCAGTGAAGGTGCAGATGCATTACAATACTTGGATCTTCTCCATGCTCCCAGATCTGGTGGGTGAAGTTGCATGGGCCAGGAAACCTGAAGCTCTTCCCTGGGCATACACATTTGTGGCAGTATGGCAGGGAAGCTTGATCTGGGAAGCTTTTGAGGAGAAGGGCTTGGAAAGGGAATTAGACCTCTTAGCTACGCCTTCCCCTCAAAAACCCAAGCCCAAGCATGAAAGTGAACTCCATCTTCATCTCAAATTAATTATTATTCCCTCTTAGCATCTATTTCTCATGCAGGCATCTGCAAGCTCAGAAGAAATCATCAGCTGCATAAATGGAAATCAAAGTGTCTTCTCCAGCAATAGATGTGTTATGTGTTTCACACTGGGACTGCATGTGGTCACAGTGTAAAAATATGACAGACTTACTGTCAACATCTCTTATGTAAAAGTGCCATAAGAAGGAAATTGAAAACAAATTCCTGCTGTCTGGTTTGGAAATGGAGAAGGCTCTGCTGTTATCATAACTTCTCCTGGCTCTTATCC